TGGCTGGACACTGCCTTTGCTCCAAAAAAATTAAGATACCTAAGAGTAAACTTAACTAAGGAGGTAAAAGGCCTGTACTCAGAAAACTACAAGACATTGAAAAAAGAGATAGAGGAAGACATAAACAAATGGAAGAATATACTGTGTTCATGGATTGGAAGAATCAACATCATTAAAATGTCCATACTACCCAAAGCAATCTATAGATTCAATGCAATTCCCATTAAAATATCAATGGCATACTTCAAAGACCTAGAAAAAACTCTCCAACATTTCATCTGGAATAAAAAAAGACCCCGAATAGCTGCAACAATCTTGAGAAAGAAAAACAAAGTTGGAGGGATTACAATACCAGATATCAAGCTATATACAAAGCCACTGCTCTCAAAACTGTCTGGTATTGACACAAGAACAGACATATAGACCAATGGAACAGAACAGAGAACTCAGTTATCGACCCAAGCCATTATGCTCACTTAATATTTGACAAAGGAGGCAAGAGCATACTATGAAGTCAAGATAGTCTCGTCAATAAATGTTGCTGGGAAAATTGGACAGATACATGCAAAAATTAAACTAGACCACCAACTTACACCATACACAAACATAAACTCAAAATGGATAAAGGACTTAAACGTAAGATAGGAAACCATAAAAGTTCTAGAAGAAGCCATAGGCAGCAAAATAGCTTATCTCGGATAAGGGTTTAATCTCCAAAATTTATAGCAAACTCATACAACTTAATAAAAAGAAGATAAACAATCCAATCAAAAAAATGGGCAAAGGACCTAAATAGACACTTTTTGAAAGAGGACATACAAAAAGCCATGAGACATATGAAAACATGCTCAAAGTCACTAATCATCTGAGAGATGCAAATCAAAATGACCATGAGTTACCATCTCACATGGAGTCAGAATGGCTATCATCAACAAATCAACAAACAAGTGCTGGAGAGGATGTGGAGAAAAAGGAACCCTCTTTCACTGCTGGTGGGAATGCAGACTGGTGCATCCACTGTGGAAAACAGTATGGCATTTCCTCAAAAAATTAAAAATGGAACTTTCATTTGACCCAATAATCCCACTTCTAGGAATATATTCCAATAAAACAGAAACACCAGTCAGAAAGTATATATGTACCCCTATGTTCATAGCAGCACAATTTACCATAGCTAAGATTTGGAAACAGCCTAAGGGCCCATCAGTAGATGAGTGGGTTAGAAAACAGTGGTATATCTACACAATGGAATACTATACTGCTGTAAAAAAGAAGGAATTTTTACCATTTGCAACAGCATAGATAGAACTGGAGAGCATTATGCTAAGTAAGGTAAGTCAGTCAGAGAAAGATAAATACCACATGATCTCACTCATTTGTGGAATATAATGAACAACATAAACTGATGAACAAAAATAGAACCAGAGTCATAGAAACATCGAACAGACTGTCCAACCTATGAGGGAAGGCGGGGGGTGGGCGTGGGGGTAAGAGATCAACTAAAGGACTTGTATGCATGCATATAACCAATGGACACTGATGCGGGAATGGTGAGGACATGTGCTAGGGGGTGGGGCCGGCAGGGGAATGGTCAATGGGTGGAAAAGGAGACTTATGTAATACATTAAACAATAAAGAATTTAAATGTAAAACAAGAAAAGAAAAGATGCAATAAATAAGAGGGAGGAGAGAGAGAACAAGATGTAATAACTGAACAGGAGAGATAAGACAGGATGGAATAACAGAAGGAGGAATAAGAAAGGATGTGAGTTCAATCCCCGGATAGGGTGGTGGAACTGATCAATGTTTCTTTTTCTCTCCCCCCCCTCTCCCTTCCTCTCTCTAAAATCAATAAAAACACAGACTTAGGTGAGGATTTTTAAAAAATTAAAAAGAAGAGAGAATGACCAGATGTATAATATGCAATTGGAAGGTTGATTTAATTAAGGATTGAGAAGTATTCATTTGATTTAGCAGCGAAGAAGTCATAGGATCATGTGAAATCCATATAGGTAGAGTGGAGGGAGCAAAAGCCAGCTTGGAGTCAGTAGAAGAGGAGTGAGGTGAGGAAATGGAGGCAGAGTGTACCCACAATTCTGGAGAAATTTTGTAAAGGAAAGTAGGGAAATGAGACAATAACTAGAGAAAATAGGATTAAAGGAGAGCTTACAAAAGGGTCCAGTAGAGTGGGAGAGATTGGAATAAAAGTGAAGGAAAAGGATGGTCCATTCTATAAATATACTAAGACTGAGAAAAGCGATGAAATTCAGAGCCAGGAATGGGAGGTGGCCCTGAATTGGAGGAGAGACCTCCACTGTGAAAGGAAGAAGATGGCTTGGCAGTAGAAATGTAAGACCATTTTCATCCAATGGCATCTACTTTTTCTTTTAAGCAGGATGTGAGATTATTTTCTAGAATCAAAGGGACTAATGAAAATTTGAAGAGGGTGGGCAAGATTTCAAATAGAGAGAAATATAGTGATTGAGCAGGTTGGCAGTGTAACTCCAGCACTGAAGGCCCAGTGGGTTAGTGGTTGGGAATATATAGTGGTACCATTTTCTCTGAAGTTTGGAATAGTAAATTATCAGATTCATTTAGGTATAGTGTTTTTTACACTCAAGTATAATGGAGGATGGGAAATAGCAAGGAATTTTACAGTGTTGTCAAGAAAGTAGACAAAAAGATAGATGATGAATGTTTCCGTAGTTGGGAGAGAAATAAAAGTAGAATAGAGGCTGATGAAAATGAAAAAAAAGTAAAAGGCAAGAATAATGAAAATGTCGATGGTGTTGACCTGTTATGTTGGGAATAGTCCAAGCAAGCTAGAAAATCAGGAAGGAGATGTTTGGTTTGGTGACTTTGAAGCTGGATATTTTCGGGAGTAAGGTTATGGAAGAGGAAGGTAGAAGAGAGGGCAGTGGAGGCAGGGAGTCAGTGTTTTGGATGAATGATCCATGTGGACATTGAAGTCTCCCAGGAATATGACAAGACTATGAAGAGAGAAGAGGTGCCAAAATCTTTGATGAATGAAGTCAGTAGATGGTAGCGATAGGGATGTGGAATTGCCGAATAGCATGATTCTCAAAGAAGGAAGAGCTTCCTACAACAGGTTAAGCAGCAATGGAGACCGAGGGTGAGGGATGATTTTATGTCTAGCTCAGGACTAGAGTTCTTAAAACATGAGAGAATAATGGTTATCTCTTAAGAGAGCTTCCAGGGAAGCTTTGTTTTCAGGGAGGGGCAGATTTCAATGTAAGCCAAGCAATGAGGGCAGTGTTCCAAGGAATGTAAGAAATCCCATGTTTTCCCAGGATGGTCAGTATTAGGTGAGGGTACAACTAAGATTGGCTACTGTTATCAGATTCTACCTTCTTTTCCTGCCTCTTGCTGAACATTTGCCTATTTATTCATTTCCCCCTTAAGTGAATAACCAAATGAAATGGCAGTGTGGAATTGGACTAATAGGTTGTAACTTTTAGCAGATAATTGGATAATGTATTAAGGCCAGTTGTTTTCTAAATTACTTTAAAGTTAGCTCAAGATGTAGTGTTAAAGTAATCAATCCAATGATCACTACAAAATAAGGGAAGCCAGAGGGAAACTTCCCCAGGAACTGAGGTCCAGAAGTGTTCAGCTGAATAATTTAACCTATTAGATAACAAGATTTGATTCATTTTATATTGTTTCTTTAAATAGGTTATATAATGGTCTTGTAAGATCTCTGTTAAGTTTTAATGGACAAGATTCTTGCTTGCTCCCTGTCTGCTAAAAAATGAGATAAATAGAAGGCCCATGCTACCTTTAGCACGTGTAAATCTCTAGTAGTAATGTCACAGATTATACCTTTTAATTATACATAAAATGAAGGTTATACATTATAATCATGAATTGTCATAACACCATAGAAAGGTACAATGTAGCAACCTAAACACAAAATAATGAGAGAAGGAAACTGACTTTTAAAAAATATTAATTGGCCTTCTTTTGCTATCAGAAGTTCTGGGAAGAAGCCTTGTAAAAGATGCAGCAGTTTTCAAAGAAAAGAATACTTCAAATATATTCATTCTTAATTCCTGTTTACCTTCTAATTAATTAATATAATACCAAGAGAGGAGGCTCAGTATAACAAACAACTAAACATCTGCAGGTCACAAAAAAGAAAAATCTCATGTTTAAAAAGGACCAGTGCCCTGGCCGGTGTTGCTCAGTGGTTGGAGTGTTGGCCCATGCACTGAAGTGTCTTGAATTCAATTTATGGTCAAGGGCATGTACCTGGATTGTGGGTTTGCTCCCTGCTCCCAAATGGGGCTCATGCGGGAGGCAGCCAGTCGGTGTCTCTCTCACATTGATGTTTCTTTCTCTCCCCTTCCCGCTCTTCCTCCCTCCCTCCCTTTCTTCCACTCTCTCTAACAATCACTCCCACTATCTCAAAGGCAATAGAAAAAATATCCTCATGTGAGGATTAAATAAATAAATAAATAAATTGGACCATAAAATCTAGAACATATTTCCCCCTTAAGGGATTCTAATGCCAACTTAATAGTTCATATCATTATAGGGGAGAGTTTGTATTTTAAAGTGTGTTATCTAAATTTTTTACTTTCTCTTCTATTTTGTGTTGGTACTGTATTTTTACTCAGCTTTGGGATCAAGACTGTTTACTTCATTAAGAGAAATCTGCCAGGTGAGGTTTAACAGGTACTCTATGTTCTGTATGCCTAAGGTCTGCCTCTAGGGTTCACCTGCTCCCCACAGGGGCATGTATGGGTTAGAGCACTTACTAACCAGGATTGACCTGGCTGCTATACTCTTATTTTTGGTGACTAAATCCTTCTCCATTAGATGCAAGCAAAATTTTTATTTCTTTATTTGTTGCCTAAAATGGTAAAACACCTGGGGTGGGGCAGGAGCCAGGTTGAGAGGGCAATGGGGAAGAAGGGGGATATGTAATACTCTCAATAATAAAGATTTTTAAAAACAAAGAAATGCAAATAAATTTTTTATTTGCAAAAACTGTAAGTACAAAACAGAGTGACAAAGATTTTCACATTTTGTGCATTTCTTTGGTCACCTTCCAATATTTGGGTGAATTACTCTTCACTTATGATTTTTGTGTGAACCTCGCGGCTCTTCACCCGCAGCTTGTTGACCTGGGACTCGGCGATGTCAGCCCGCTCCTCGGCCTCTTCCAGCTCGTGCTGGAGCTTGCGGAACTTGGAGAGGTTGACGTTGGATTGTTCCTCCTGAGGATGAATGGAAATGCATTCAGGAGTGAATAGAGTTCAGAATTTCTAGTTTCTTAAGAGAGTGGGTGTTGAGTTTTCTTTTTACTTCAAAATGATTCACTCTATCAAACCTTTTTAAAAACCTAGAGAAATGATCTGGAACATTTTTTTTTGGTATTAACGTCTCTCATGAATCTTGAACTCATGGATAACAAGGAGGGACAGGTGACATTTGTCTCCAAGGTGCTCTAAAAGTTCTCCTTTTAGAACTTTTAACATCTTAGAGCAGCGGTTCTCAACCTGTGGGTCGCGACCCCTTTGGGGGTCAAATGACCCTTTCACAGGGGTTGCCTAAATACATCCTGCATATCAGATATTTACATTATGATTCATACCAGTAGCAAAATTACAGTTATGAAGTAGCAACGAAAATAATTTTATGGATGGGGGTCACCACAACATGAAGAACTGTATTAAAGGGTCGCGGCATTAGGAAGGTTGAGAACCACTGTCTTAGAGCTACTCCTAAAGTGCCAACTTTCCAGCCTCTTCTTTCTTCACAATCCTGAGAATGGAACCAGACCTTTAACAATGCAGACATGGCCCTAGCTGGTTTGGGTCAGTGGATAGAGTGTTGGCCCGAGGACTGAAGAGTTTGATTCCAGTCAAGGGCAACTACTTCAGTTGTAGGCGTGATCCCCTTCCCTGGTGGGGGCACATGTGGGAGGCAACCAATCAACGTGTATCTTTCACATCAATGTTCCTTTCTCTCTTTTCCTCTCCTTCCTTCCTCCCAGTCTCTCTTCTTTCCCTCTCTTCCACTTTCTCTAAAAATCAATGGGAAAATATCCTCAGGTGAGGATTAACAACAACAAAAATGCAGACATGCAATCTATATTATTCCAAACCAATAGCCTTGAGTATAAATTATACTCATGCAATTTAAGGCAGTTTTGGAATTAAACAAGAAGTTGATTATTTCCTAAAATAGAATGGTTTCTGATTATGTTTAAATATATAGCAATGAATTTGAGAAGCCCAGTCCTGGTTTAGTCTCTAGTAATCATACTTTTTTAAAAGGCTCATTTAGAACCATCCAAAATATGTCATTCAAATTTAGAACATTAATAAAACTTAAATAAATAAATAATAGAGTTTGAAAAAAAAACCCTCAGATCTTCCTCTTACAGATAAAGAAAGTTGGAGCTAGAGAAAGGTTAACTAAGTCCTCTCTGTCTCTCTCTGACCTTAGAGGTTTAGAGGTCAGGGGGAAAATAAAAATTATAAATGAACACAGGAACTAATTTATGATAATAATTCTGTATAGCCATACTTTTATACTTGGGAAATTGATGTTACTTGATCATTATTTCCCATGAATCACAGGCTGGGGGAATGTGATAAGGTGGGATGCTAAGAATTCATGGTGTATATAATGATATTTCAAACAGTGTTTCCAATATACAATTCCTGTTTTCTTCTTGCCCTGCAAATCTGTTCTCCCCTTAGCTTTTTATTTTAATAATACACCACACACCTAGTTAATCAAACCATAACTTGACAAATTATCTTTGATTTCCTTTTCTCACCTCCCAAGTGCTACCTATTAGCATATCTTGTAGTTTCTACCTCCAAAATAGCTCCACTTCTGTCTGTATGCACCACTACTATCCTAATCCAAGCCATGGGACCACCTGAAAAGCCTCCTAGAATATTTTGGGTACCTATGGTACCCAAAAATCATCCTCCATCTAGTAGCCAAAATACTCTTTTAAAAAATATAAACCAGGGCATGACTGACCAAATGCAAAAATCCTGTGGCTTCCAGTGTCCCATTATGCTTAGAAAAAAGCCAGACTTCTTATTATGACCTAAAAGACCATGTGATCCTCCTCCTGCCAGCTCTTCAGCTCTATCTCTCCTGCAACTTCCCTCATTATTCTACTTCTCGAACCAGTCTCTTTTCCACACAAAAGCTTTGCATTTGCTCTTCTCCATCCCTAGAACGAAAATTTTCCCTGGCTTATCAAGTGGTTGGTTTCATCTCATTCTTTAGACCTTCATTGAACCATTTCCCTTTAATCTTTCCTCATTTTACCCTTTTTTCTTTCATCCCTTTAACCAAATTAGCTTGGACATATCTGAGAACTGGAAGCTGCCTAATTACCAGGAGAGATTCTGAACTCACCGCTTCCTCAGCTTGTCTCTTGTAAGCTTTCACCTTTGCTTGCAGTTTATCCACCAGATCCTGGAGCCTTAGTACATTCTTGCGGTCTTCCTCAGTCTGAAATTATTATATTTGAAAGAGTGAGTTTCTTGAAAGTACAAAGACCATCATATTTTGTTGTATATTTGGTTTTTAATCCTCTGTAGACGGGGGTGAAAACCTAGACAGGCCATTTTCCTTACTTGGTAAGTGAGTTCCTTTACTCTTCTTTCATGTTTGCGTAGACTCTTGACAGTTTCAACATTGCGCTTCTGTTCACCTTCAACTTCTGCTTCAAGTTCACGTACCTGCAAGAAAATGGGAATTTTAAAGACATTTATTACGATGCATTCATTTAATGGATTTCTACTCTTCAAATGGCCTGTAGTACTTCTTTTACTCTGCTTTAATTGTAGTTACTGATACCCTAGTCTAATCTCCCCCTTATAAGCTCTTGGCAGCAAGGAATATCTCTCATTCATCTCTGTATGCCACACATCATCCAGTAGTGTTAGGTATTGAAAAGTCATGCATTGGATAGGAATGAGATGCAAAATATGCTGATCAGAAGACCCACCCTGGCCTCCAGTTTCTGGATCTGCTTCTTCCCGCCCTTCAGGGCCAGCTGCTCAGCCTCATCCAGACGGTGCTGCAGGTCCTTCACCGTCTGCTCCATGTTCTTCTTCATCCGCTCCAGGTGGGCACTGGTGTCCTGCTCCTTCTTCAGCTCCTCGGCCATCATGGCCGCCTAATTAGCAGTAAATTAAAACCGTTCAGAAAGCTGAGATAGCACATTAAGATTCAGATTTGACCACCACTGCATTGCCCTCTGCTCACATCAGTGATGGCCTTCTTGGCCTTCTCTTCTGCGTTGCGAGCTTCCTGGACAATGTCCTCCATCTCTCCCTGGATTTGGGAGATGTCTGTTTCCAGCTTCTTCTTGGTGTTGATCAGGCTGGTGTTCTGGTTAAAACATCACATTTAAAAATATTAAACACATGAGAGAAAAATTAGGATGCCCGCTGTTCTAATGAAATCACAAACTAGTTAATTAACTAATTGGTGTCCCTCCTTCTTACATAAAGTATCTCAGGTGACAATGTATTTTTAAAAGACAGTCAAGACTTGATGTCAAAATTAAGATAAACAAAATATTGTTTTAAATTTTATCCTCCATGAAACATTATGAATAAATTTTTAAATAATACTAAAATGTGAGCAAGAATTTGATTTTCCTTCTTCTGTATTTTTCACTCTTCTCCTATTCTATCTATTCACCTGGGTGTGCAGGAGCTGGACACGCTCACTGGCATCCAGCAGCTCCTGTTCTGCGATCTTCCTGCTCCTCTCCGTCTGCTCCAGGGTGGCCCTCAGCTCCTCAATCTCAGCCTGCAGCAGGTTGGCTCTGCGCTCAACCATGGCCAGCTGCTCCTTCAGGTCCTCCTGGCCCCGGAGAGCGTCATCCAAATGTAGCTGGGTGTCCTGTGGGATGAAAGATCATTGAGACATCTTGTTCTCAGGGCTTCAGCCACCCCACCTGCTCTGGGGCCATCTCTTGACCCCTTTTACCTTGAGAATGCCTTGTGTGTTCCTGTAGTTCTTCAGGGCCTCAGCAGCCATGCGGTTGGCATGGTTCAACTGGATTTC